GTGTAAGTGGGGAGGGGGGGGTGTCACTGGTGGAGGAGTCCCTCATAAAATTTTGAATAAAGTAGATGCCACTTCCTGTGTTCTGTTGTATTTTAATGGTTGTTAAACATCTATGTTTACCTTCATAAGTAAACACTTGATTCAACAGTTATTTTAGAGAGTAACAAGAAGTAGCCTGACCAACAGCTCTCCTTGTGTGAATAAAGCATGCTCCGCTTCTCTCATGCATCCTAACTCCCACCACCACGACAACTGTCGGTACTAATGTAGCACTAAGCTAGTGCTAGCTAAGATGCTACAGATGTAGTGCTCTGCTTTAGATTACACAACCTAATAAACACTTTGTACAAATTCAGTTTAGTGTCAACTGATCATAACAAACAAAGCCTAAACTTATGTAATCGGAAGTTGCAACATACGTCTACATTTAAAACACACAAAACAAAGCACAACTAGCTTTAAGTGTTAACCTTTATTTTAACCATTAAATATGTAATAATGTAATAATGAAAGAAAATGGAGGATTTACTTGCAGTTACCTTCCTACAGATGAACATGTGTACTTCCTGTTTATTAATTTAATCAGCTGCTCATGAGGTCACCAGCCTTTATCATCTTTTACATTTTTTCTGACTCCGTTTAGTTTGCAAAATGAAATAAATTCTTTTCCACCCTAAACATTCAGGGCAACTTGTCTGAATTACATGATCCCCACTGACGACGTTTATCAATATTTCTAATGATTTTTCATGAAAGCCCTCTGACAATCTTGTCGGAGGAAAAGAGGGCGGAGCTCCTGCAGGTAAGGGGCGTTTCACTTTGAGGATCCAACTCATGCAAAAAATTAAATAAATCAGATTTTACTGATCCATTTAAGAGTGTCATTATTCTATATTTATTCAATATTTTGGTGAATCTAAGGTTTAGAACTGAGTTTTCTTACAAAATCCTAATGATGGTTTCTTAAAATTTAGGGGGGCTTGAGCACCCCCCAGAAAGAGGCTAACATCACCAGTGGTTGTGTGTCATATGCCTTCAGTTTCATATTTTTTAATGAAGCTTCACTCCAGATCTAACTATTACAGAAATTTATAAAAGTTAGAGTTTGGATAAAAATACATAAACATATGGATGTTTGTGAATATTCATGAGGTTTAAAGTCAGTGTTATCACAGCCGCCACATGGCTGAGAGCAAACTGAAGGCAGAAGACCAGAATGGGCAGAAGAACCTCCAAAAAGTCACTTTTTCCAAACAGACTGCTCATTACGGTGGTTTTGCTACAGTGGACATCATTAATGGACACACACAAAAAGTCACGTTGCAGAGGGGAAAAAAAAAAAGATTGAAGAGTCAGACTATGTAAATGTCATCATGTTTGCAAATTATTATTATTTTAACACCAGTGACAACTAGAATATTTGACTTTTACAAACATGCTTCAATGGGGCTTCTGTGAGCGAACAATTTCTGGACTTTTGTGCAACGTTCCTCGTTAAGGACGACATTTTCGACGTCATTTAGCTCCCACAGCTGCACAGAAGCTGCTGCTGGAACACTGCTAACATGCAAATAAGCTGTTTTTAGGACCAAACTCATTTTCTCTACATGATGTCCCTGCAGTGCATTTAATTTTAACCCATGATCGCTTTATTATATTTCCTTTGAAATCCATTCATGCGCTTAAATACAAAGAAATGAGGTCCACTTCAGTGGTCTTCTGTACATGTTAAATCACAAATATTATTTTCCCACATGTATTTATGAAGAAGGCCTGTGCAGAATCCTTATGGACTGTTCAAATTGTGTGGGCTTATGGTCATAGATGTTTATACTGGAGTGAAAATGGATATAAAGTTGATAAAATGTAAACACTTTTGTTTTTTTCACAAGTGAATGAAACTGTATCACAGAATGTGATAAATTGAATGAAATCAACCGTAAAATGCAGAAATAATCCGATAAATTAGGCATTTCTCTAAAGTGATCTGAAGCCATGTACGTGCAGCTCCAGATGTTTTTTTTTTCTTTAAAAAAAAATTAAAGTCTGATTTTAACAAAAAACACTGAAAAGTTTGGAGAGGACCACATTCATGTAATCAAAATACAAAACAAGAACATTCTAAAATGGGTTAGGATGATCAGAAACAACTCCAGTTTTTCCAACATTTTTCAGTCAGGTCATCTGGACAGTTTCTTTTTTTTGTGATGAAACGTTTCGCCTTCGATCCAGAAGGCTTCATCAGTCAAGGAAACGCACAACAAAACTGATTCTTCCCCCAACAGCTTACTCCAAAGTGGAACAAACCAGTTCTGCTTGTGATAAGATGGTCTCTTTGGCCCGCCGGCCCTCTTCCTTGTCTTGAAGAGGAAGGAAGAGGGCCGGCAATGGAGGAGGGGCGTACCAAAGAGACCATCTTATCACAAGCAGAACTGGTTTGTTCCACTTTGGAGTAAGCTGTTGGGGGGAAGAATCAGTTTTGTTGTGCGTTTCCTTGACTGATGAAGCCTTCTGGATCGAAGGCGAAACGTTTCAGCACAAAAAAAGAAACTGTCCAGATGACCTGACTGAAAAATGTTGGATTTTATACCTGGATTATTGAGCATGGACTTTTGTTGTTTGCAGTTTTTGTTAAATACTGTTTCCAATTCCCTTTCAGTCATTAACCACAAAAATAAAAAAAAATAATTTACCCAAATCAATAAAACACCCAATCTTTTCAGTAAAACTCTGGATGATTGGAACCACATGAACATGTTGTTGTAATTTATCAGTATTCATTATTTTTAAATTTATTTTTATTCAATGGTAAATATGTGTTTAGCCACTTTATGGTGAGGTCTGCTTATCAAAAATAGCTTTTATTTTATATTCTTAATTAATTGTTGGTGCAAGAAGCCAACAGAACAGTGCTTTATATTGATATTCCAGCATGGTATTGATAATTTGACTTTATTTTGATTTTCTTGCCTGCAGGGTTTGCACATCCTCCATGTTGACTGTAATGAGTACTCCAGCGTCTCTCCTCAGTGTTTGCTTCTAGAAACCTTTTACATCTTGTTTGGGTTGTCAGCTACGTCTATAATAATCCACAACCCTGAGAAATACTGGTACAGAAAACGAAAGAAAGACGAGGATGATAGTTGGATGATATAGGCTAAAGCTACTTTAAGGAAGGTAAACATGCCATGCCTCATTTGTTCCATCTGCGCCTCCCTCCTGACCTTAGACTGGGCCGTCAGCCGGTGAGGTCATGCGCTGCAGATAAAGCATCAGAAAGTGGTTTCCCTTCAGTAGCTCTGGTGGTGTCCTTGTGTGAGCAGATTCAATCTTTTTTTTAAAATTATTTTTCTTCCTTTTGCTCTGAACAAACAGTCGATTACAGTTTAAATCCACTGATTTATTCCCTATTCAACAGTTTATTATTTGTTTTCCCAGAACTGAAACTACTAAATGATAAGACATCAGTTCTGCTACATCACATATCAGTTTCATATTAGGTAAAATTGTGCTTTTTTAAAATTGTGTTCAGCGTAGACGTTGCGTTTTAAACAATTAGTCTGTGTCGTGTCTGCAGCCGTTTATGGTGAGGGGAGTAGAAATCAAATTCATGAACTTGCACATCAGTTTATGGTGCACGGTTCAGATTTTCCGAC